AGTATTTTATCTTTTTAGGGGCTATTATGAATGGTATTGTTTTCCTGATTTCCTTTTCATCGTTCTCCTTATTGGTGTATAGGAATCCAACTGATATTAATTTATTTTTATTGTAAAAAATATGTAACACAACATTTGTCAGCTCCACATTTTTCGGGTGTACAATTTAGTGATGTCAGTTACATTAATCATATTGTGTAACCATTACCCGTCATTGTTGCCTGATTTCCCATCACCCTAAATGAACACTCACTGTTTCCTAAACAGTGGCTGCCCCCTCCCCCTCCTTCTCACCCTTGCTACCCAGTAGTAAGCATTGGTCTCTGTACATTTGCCTATTCTTGTTATTTCATGTAAGTGAGATTATATAGTATTTGTCCTTTTGTGATTGACTAACTTGAGTGAGCATAAGGTTTTCCGGGTTCATGCATGTTGTAACATGGATCAGGACTTCATTTCTCTTTATGGCTGAGTAGTATTCCATTGATGTTATTAATTTTTTAAAACTGAGAACAATGGTAAAAATGCACTGATTTTTTTTCTTTTTTTTTTTGCAGTGCTTTCCAAAATTTAGATCACTTTCACATATTGTAGGTTTTTCAACCCCTGGGATAGCCTTAGAGGCATTTTTCATAAGAAATCTCATTTACTTTTTTTTTTGGTGCTTGAAAATACTTTATATATATAACATTATACCTTTGGATGTGCATGTTGTAGAATGCTTACCTCTGGCCTACTTATAGCTCATTTTGTATCACAGTGGATGACGTAGTAGATGAAAGTGATGACAACGATGATATTGATTTAGAAGCTGAAAATGAAACTGAAAATGAAGATGACATAGATCAAAATTTTAAGGTTAGTATACATTTCTATTATTAATCAACTGGATAAATTCTACAGTTGTAAAACAAAGATTGGGTAAATAGAGATAGCTTTTTGTTTTTGTTAGGTACTGTCCAGTCAATTCCAACTCATAGTGACTGTATTCTTTATGGGAACAGATCGCCAGGTCTTTTTTCCTGCAGAGCTGTTGAGTGGGTTTGAAGTACCAGCCTTTCGGTTAGCAGCTAAGCACTTAACCATTGCACCACTAGGGCTATTTTTTTTTGTCCACATCTTTTTATTGTGGATGACTACAGTAAGCTAAAAGGAGCCCTGGTGGCGGAATGGTGAAAGTGCTTAGCTGCTAACTGAAAGATCAGTGATTCAAATCCACCAGCCCCTGAGGAAAAGACATGGCAATCTACTCACTTAAGATTACAGCCTAGGAAACCCTGTGGGGGCAGTTCTACTCTGTCATATAGAGTCACTATGAGTCGGAATTGACTTGGCAGCACATGACAATAACAACAATAAGCTATTGATGGGCAAATGATGTTGCTTTGAAATCACTGATCTGGAGAGGACCTGAAAGTAACTTATTTTCTCTTTCCCTGAACAAGAAGATTTTTCTTATTTTTCTGACTTATATTTTGAAAGTATTTCAAGGAAAGAGGTTTGAGAATCTATTGTGGCAACTTATTGCAAAATGTCTTACCTTCCCAACAATCTTTTGGGGGATACAAAAATAGTAGGAAAATAGTCTGTAACTGATAAGTTTTTGTGAGAACTAGTGTTTACATAATGATTCTTAGGTTTCAGTTAACTGGACAAGGAAATGGAGAGGAGTGTTTATTGAATTGGGAAAAGGTAACATAATCGTCATGTTACATGAGATGTTAGGTAAAAGAGGCAGGTAAATTTTCAGAATTTCATTACACCTCTGGAAGCTGCATAGTCTGGTATATTTTGGTAGAGAGGACTACTTTAGCATCTAGAAAAACGGGCTGGTCTCCTTCATTTGTGAACTGCTTAGGTTGTTGCTTTTTTTAAAATTCATTTGTTATAGGTGGGGGGATGAATTATTTTATTCTTATCTGTTTGGGCCTTTTTGTCTTGGAGTACTACATCAAAATTAGAGAACACTCGGTATTTGACTTCCTCTGGAGGTAGAATCTAAGATACTAGAAGGAGACATCTTAGCAGGAGATATAGAAACATTTTCATTACTGCCAAATGTGATCATTAGGGCAAGCTTTGGCAAAATTGTCAAGTATACCATTAGCCAGTCTGGAACACATGATGGTCTGTGTCCTGGCCTCTAGAAGCTATAAAGAAGAAAAACAGTGTAGGTGCTGATGGTCGAGGCAATGAAATCTGGGGTAAGTGAATTTTGCCCCACCAGGAATGGTGTAACTGTTAAAGACTATATGTTTGTGGTTCTGAACTGACACAAGTTAAAGAACTAGAAGGATCCAAATTAGGAAAAATTTAATTCTGTATGTAAAGTGTTCCTTAGATAACGGTAGTTATATTCATATCTATTGTTTGGATTTCTTGTATGTGTTTAGGGGTAATAAATGTTCCCAGATTAATACTACAAAGTCTGTAACTTTAAAATACAGTATTTTGATAGAAAATTTTTCTGATATGTGCTGTATACTTACATGTCTTTTAAAAACAAATTATGGCGAGTGTAATTTATTTTATTCTCCATGGCTCAGGATTCTCATTAACAATATCTGTTACTTTGATGACTACAGATGTAAAGACAGAGAACTTGGTAGGGGAATAAAACTCAACAGGAATTATAACAGTGGCTCTGAGTTTGCTGCTTGGACATTGTTGTGAGTGTGTGAGAAATACATACATTTTTTTTTTAAACCATTTGAGGGTAGGTTACATATTCCATGTATCATGGTCATTTATCCTTAAACATGTCATTTTATATTTTCTAAGAATAGTGATGGCCTTAGTTATCTAGTACTGCTATAACAGAAATACCACAAGTGTATGGCTTTAACAAACAAATTTATTTTCTCACAGTTCAGGTGGCTTATTGTTGTTAGTTGCTGTTGAGTCCATTCCGACTCATAGCGACCCTGTGTACAACAGAACAAAACACTGCCCGGTCGTGTGCCATCGTCACAATCCTTGCTGTGCTTGAGCCCACTGTTGTAGCCACTGTGTCTAGAAGTGGCTGGAAGTCTGAATTCAGGGTGCCAGCCCTAGGAGAAGGCTTTCTCTCTCTTTTGGATCTCAGGGAAGGTCCTTGTCTCTTCAGCTTCTGCTTCCTGATTCTTTGGAGATCTCCATGTGGCTTGGCATGTGTCTTACCCCATCTTTGCTCTGCTTACTTGTTTAATCTCTTTTATATCTTAAAAGAGTTTGACTCAAGACACACCCTACACTAATCCTGCCTCATTAACATAACAAAGACAGCCCATTCCCAAATGGGTTTATAACCACAGGCATAGAGGTTAGGATTTACAACACATTTGGGGGGACACAGTTCAGTCATAACAGTAGTTATCAGCTTCATAAATTTACAGTAATATAACACTTTACCATCCGTATTTTAATTTTGTCAGTTGATCTAATAATGTCCTTTGTAAGATTTTTTTCCCTTTCTAGTACAGGATCTAGCATCAGGTGTTGCATATAATTATCTTGTCTCTTTAGTCTCCTTCAATCTGGAACGTTTTCACGGCTTTGTCTTTTGTAACATTGACGTCTTTGAAGAATGCAGTCACTGGCTGGCATTGTTCACTGAAGTATTGGTGATTGTTCACATTTCCCCCACTTTTTCTCCCTTAGCTTGGTAGTTATAATAAAAGTAAGGAAACAACAACAGCTGGTATTTATTGAACACTTACCCTACGCTAGTCTAAGCACTTTATGTATGTTAGCCACTTAATCCTCATAGCAGTCCTATAAACTACGTAATCTTATTATTCCTGCTTTATAGATGAGGAAACTGAGGCACAGAATGGTTATCAGTCTAGCTTATAAGTGGTGGAGTGGTGATTTAGAATAAAATAGTCTGGTGTGAATGTCCACTTTGTTTACAACTGTATTGCAGTAAAATATTATTTTCTTTTAAGGACTATAGGATTGCTGGCTCTTTGAGACTGTCGAACTGTATTATCTTCTTTTTCTTCTTAACTGCTATCTGCTTACTGTCATTGGCTGTTAGGTATGGACGTCCTTAATTCTTCTTCTTTTTACCTGAATTCCATCACTTTGATGCATTAGGTAAACTGCTACATTGTAGTGGGTGTGATATTTGTGTTTTATTGTGGTTGTGTACTTAGAGACTTTTTTTCATACCATAGTGATTCCATTCTTTTGCCCCAGATTTTTCAGAGTCTGGAGCATTTATGGAAACCTGAAAGCTCAAGAAGACCCGTCTCCTGTTAGCCAAGACTTTTCTGTATATAAGCTTCAATACATTTTTCCCACTCCATAACTTTAGAAGAACTTTAAGGAGTGGGAAACCAAAACAGAGAATTCCTTCTCACTGAGTTCTCAGAGTATTGTAGTTTTCTTTCCTTGATGTGCCTGTTTTACCGGTAGTATTTAAAAAAAGAAAGGAAAAGTGGAGAGACATTACATAAGGCTGTATTTTCACAACATGATGTTGGATATTGAACTAGTATGTTTACAAAAAGAAGACCTTTGTACATTATTTTATTTTGGAAGTTACTGTCTACTTTTTAATTTCTCTTAGTACCAATTAAAAATTAATAAGTGGTATTGCTATCTCTCTTTAACCATCAGTGAAGGTCATGATGAGTTTGTATTGATGTGAGACCAGAGTTGTTGAGGGTCCTAGAAAAGGGCTTGTATAGTAGGTAAGCCAGCACTTGTCCTCCCGTTGTGGTGTGCATCAGGTCTTCTCTGAACAGCATACCCAAAACCAAACCCACTGCCGTCGAGTCAATTCCAACTCAGCAACTCTATAGGACAGAGAGAACTGCCCCATGGGGTTTCCAAGGCTGTAATCTTTACAGAAGCAGACTGCCATATCTTTCTTCTGTGGAGCCACTGGTGAGTTCAAACTGCCAACCTTTTGTTTGGCAGCCGAGCACTTTGACCACTGTGCCATCAGGGCTCCTTCTGAATAGCATACAGACCAAATATTCTGTTTCTCTGAAGACATACTTTTCCTTTAGGTTTACCCTCTTCTTTCCTAAAGGGGCATGGGAATAATTTCTGGCTTTTGCTCTACTCTTTACCCCCCAGCCCCCCAAAAAACAGAATGATTGGTGACACTGAACTTTTTAAGTGAACTTTATTGACCATAGAGTGTTAAGAGTGCTTGGTAATCGTTAGTCTGTATTGAGGCAGTACTTCATATTGGTTAAAAATGTATGCTGTGAATCACCCTGACTGGTTTTGCTTCCTGGCCCTTGTCTTTGCAGGCTGTGTAATTTCTGGGAAGCCACTTAACCTCTTTGTGTCTGAGTTTCTTCTTCAGTTAAGTGGGGTTAAAGATACTATCTACTTCTTAGCGTTCTTATGCAGATTAGATTAGATAATCTATGTAAAATGCTTAGCATAGTGCTTTATACATTCTGAGTTTCAAATGACTGTTAGCTCTTTTGATTATTACCACTGTCACCACCATATACATATGTTTTTCAATTCAATTCTTTTTAAGTTTTACTGCCCTTTGATATGAGCGTAATGATGACAATTAGGGAGATTGGGGAAAGCATACTTAGCCTTGATCTTGATACTGTGATGTCCTGGAAGGTTTTTAATTTTAGAAATCAGTAGAAATTCAACTTTGTCATATATAAAGTCATTTAGTTTATTGCAAGGTACACAGCTAAGACCTGAAGAGATACATTTTAAGCACTGGAGAATCAGAATTTAACAGTTACAATGCTGATTTATTGGCTAGAGTCTCAATCTTTAGACTTTTTCAGTTTTTGCCTTTTATGAGAGGTCTTGAGAGAAAGGCTTGACCACGGCTTGAACTTGGTGGAGGTCCCTTGTAGCTAGGGTCAGAGGTTGGCGGTGGTGGGCAGAATCTCAGTTTTAGTTTCTAGCAGGGTCTCCTTTTGGGAGAGTATCAGAGTCTAGAGAAGGGTCTCTTGCCTCTGCTCTTCTCTCAAAGGAATGAGCTGAAACTCACTGCTTATATATAATTTTGTAGCCTTGTTCTGATACGATAGGGCCAAGTGATGTTATGTTTAGTGTGTTACATCTTCAAGGATAGACGATTGCCTGATGTTGCATCTTTTAGAGATTAAGGGGTTGTGTACAACATCACTGATGTTGCTTTTTGAGAGATTAAGGAGTTGCTTATGAAATTATCAATTCCTAAAGTTAAAAATTTTCTAAATAACTTTTTTGATGACTTAACCATCATAGTTTCTAACAGCTTGTAAGCTGCTAGTGACTTAAAGTTTTTCTGGTTAGAGAGCATCACAGAAGTATATCTGTATATTTCTGTTTCTAACTTCCTGTCGTGAATGAGTTGTACATATGCAGTTTGAAAGTGTTTAACAGTGTTGAAAGCATACATAATAGTGACATACCAATGTGACTTGAGGTACTACATAGACATACATGTGGCTTTTCTGTCTTGAGGAGCCCAAATACTGTGTTATATTAGAATATCTGGCAAAAACCAAACAAAAATTAACAGCATTAACAACAACAACCTCAAAATAATAAGCAAATTTGAATGTAAGGTAAAATTAAATAAAACTTTCATTCAGTGATTACTCTCTGATTCTAATTACATGTAATTAATAATTTGGAAAATTTTAAATCTAAAAATACATTCTGTAATTTTTATGGTTTCCTTCACTGATGACGTGCTATTTGTCTTATTTCAGAATGAAGATATTGAAACGGATATTAACAAACTAAAACCTCAGCAAGAACTAGGACGAGCTCTAGAAGAACTAAAAATGTATGAACACCTTTTCCCTGAGCTTGTTGATGATTTTCAGGTATAAACATAGAAAATTCAGTATCTTACCTGATTTTAATAAAGAGGTTTTTTTTATCTCTCTTAAGCCTATAATCACTGCTTTCATTCCTAAGAAGGAAAAGATAGTATTGCTTTTCTGAGTGGCCCTGGACAATTATTTAAACATTCAGAGCTACAGATAGCTTATCTGTAAAAAAACGGGTTGGACTAGCTGTTTAATTTTTCTGCCTTTAATTGACATAGTTTTTTACTCTTATGTATTTTAAAATGACATTTCAGAGTCATATGTTAGAGTCTTGTTTGTATCTATTTTGTTCGTTTAAGATGGAGATGAGAGCTAACAAAGTGCTGAATTAAAAATAGAATCGATGTATATTAAATTTTTCTCCCCCCCACCCCCTCCATAGTTAACTGTATAACCGGGGGGAAGAGAGAAAGAAGGAGGAGAAATTGAAATCTTAAAATCTGAGTTGGTTCACAAGGAGAGTGACTTTTTAACATATCTTACCCTCTGTCTTAGTTATCTATTGCTGGTATAACAGAAGTACCACAAGTGGATGGCTTTAATAAACAAATTTACTTTCTCATGGTTTAGGAGGCTAGAAGTCTGAATTCAGGGCACCAGCTCCAGGGGAAGGCTTTCTCTCTCTGTTGGCTCTGGGGGAAGGTCTTGGCATTAGTCTTCCCCTGGGTCTAGGAGTTTCTCAGTGGAGGGAACTCAGGTCCAAAAGGGTGCACTCCACTCCTGGCTCTTCTTGCTTGGTGCTAGGATATCCCTCACTTCTCTCTTTTATATCTCAGAAGAGATTGACTTGAGAAACAACCTAATCTTGTAGATTGTGTCCTGCCTCATTTAACATAACTTCCTCTAATCCTACCTCATTAACATCATAGAGGTTAGAATTTATAACACGTAGGATAATTAAATCAGATCACAAAATGAAGGACAGCCACACAATACTAGGAATCATGGCCTAGCCAAGTGGACACACATTTTTGGGGGACACTATTCAATCCATAACATCCTCATTTACTAGAATATAAGTATTCAGCCTGGATTACACAGCAAATAGTGATAAAGTTGGTTGAATTGATGGCATTTAGTACATCTAGTTTCTTATTCTCACTCTGCTGCTGAACTGTGCTGGGTACTTGGGTAAGTCCTTGAAACTGCTGAGGATCTTCAACTATAAAATACAGGTTTGAACTAGATAATCTCCAAGATTTATTTAGCCCTTGCTGCAGAAGCACTTCCTCCTCCCTCATTTCCATACACTTAATTCCTAGTTGTTTAAAGAAAAAAATTTTTGATGTCAGCTTATATATGATAAAAAAAAAAAAAAAGAGAAATATTTGCCAACTAGTGTTTACATTTCATAGTTCCAGTTATTCTGCTATTGGATGCAGTGGGAGAAGCAGCAGCAAGTCCCCCAACCCGCCTCCCACCGTGTTTTGGTGCTTCCCGTAGATTTGAGGTTCCTTGGAAGGTAGTAGAGGGAGGGCAGGAATGAATGAGAGGGTGTTTGTCGAAGAAAAGAAAAGCAGGGAGAAGCAATTTGGAAAGGGTACAGAGTACCTTTTTTCCGTTCAACCTATAGCAAATATCTGGCTCCTCTTTTAATACCCTTGTGCCCAGCTAAGAACCCCTTGAAAATAAAATATCCGGAGGCAACAAATACTGCTAAATCAAAGCAGAAAAATATTGTGGGAGGGAATTGATGATTGTCTGAAGAAATCACCTATTTTCTTCCCTATTTATGTCTGTATGAGAAATATATAATGTGATTACAAATTGTAGTTCTGATGTGGGAATAGAGCAGAATAATTTTGTAAATGGTGTCAAGGCCAGAGCTCTCCATCTGTTGCCCATGATATGGGAAATAACATATTGTCTTTTATTGGAAAATTACTTTTCAAGTCATTGTGTTGGCACTTGACTATCTTTCTCAGTTTTAAGTTTCAGAATTGTGCACTGTTCAAGTACTTTAGTGTCTGTTTTATGAAATGTGTGCCTACAGCACATTTAAGTGAGGTGCTTTCAAGGAATAAAAAAATTGGTCGGTTCCAGTTAGGAAGTGTTTGAAATAATTTTACTTAGCCGTAACTTACCAATTCCTGATAGGTCCTGAGATATTAAACATAAATGAAATTAATTTTGATAATGACTTTCAACTTGGATTTACATGTCATTCTCAGCACTGCCTATTGAAATTTAAAATGACTTGATGTGTATGTTTGAACCCCAAACACCACCTACTTTGTTTCCAGATATGTGTTCAGTGCCCACATGGAAGCAAAATGGCCTTCATTTGAAGGTGTCATATGGAGTTAAAGTAATTATCAACAGACTTTTTGAGGGAACCTTACTCTGCTTTTTTTCCTCCCCCTAGATTTTATTTATTTTGTTGTTGTTGAGAATATACACAGCAAAACATACACCAGTTCAACAGTTTTCTAAACATACAATTTAGTGACATTGATTACATTCTTCGAGTTGTGCAACCATTCTCACCCTCCTTTTCTGAGTTGTTCCTGCCTCATTAACGTAAACATACTACCTCCTAAGGTCCCTGTCTAATCTTTCCATTTGCTGTTGTCAATCTGATCCCAAAATAGATAGTTGTTAAAAGAGCATAAAACTCAAGGCAGACATTTTTTACTAGTTAAGCTAAACTTGTTTGGTTTTAAGAAGATGTTGGGATATTTTTAGTTTAAGGTTTAAAGATTATCTCAGGGAAATAGTTTTAGGGGTTCATCCACTTTCCATGGCTCCAGAAAGTCTAGAGTCCATGAGAATTTGAAATTCTGTTCTGCGTTTTTTCCCTTTTGGTCAGGATTCTTCTATGGAATCTTTGATCAAAATGTTCAGTAATGGTAGCTGGGCACCATCCAGTTCCTCTGGTCTCATGGCAGAGGAGGCCGTTGTTCATGGAGGCAGTTAGCCACACATTCTGTATCCTCCTGTCCCTGACTCTCCTTCTTTCTCTGTTGCTCCAGATGGATGGAGACCAATTGTTGTGCCTTGAACGGCCGCATACAAGCTTTTAAGACCCCAGGCACTACACAGTGAACTAGGAGGTAGAATAGAAGCACTAAACACGTTATTAGGCCAGTAAAATGGGATGTCCCATTAAACCATGACCCTAAACCTCCAAACCAAGAACCAAATCCTATGAGATGTTTGGTTGTACATAAGCAGCCTCAGCAGCTGAACTTTTGCCAGTTCAGCTTTTTAATAGGTGTACAACTTATAGACAGTTAATTACAATAATCGGTTGTGCAACCCTACCTTTAATTAATGTGATTTTTCCATCACCCTTAACCCCTCTTTTCCCCCTCCCTCCCATTCCTGGCAACCACTAATAAACTTTGGTCTCTATACATTTGCCTTTTCTTGTCTTTCTTATAAAAGTGAGGTCATTCAATATTTGTCCTTTTGTGATTGGCTTATTTTGCACAGCATAGTGTCTTCAAGCTCCATCCATACTGTAGCAAGTATCAAGACTTCATTTCTTCTACTGGCCAAGTAGTATTCCATTGTACGTGTGTACCACATTTTGTTTATCCATTCATCTGTTAATGGGCATTTAGGTTGTTTCTAGCTTTTGGCTATCCTGAGTAGTACTGCAGTGAACATCGGAGTACAAGTCTCTTTTTGAGTCTTTACTTTCAAGTTTTTTGGGTATATACCTAGGAGTGGATTTGCTGGGTCATATGGTAGTTCTATTTTTAGTTTTTTGAGGAACCGCTGTACTGCTTTCCACAGCGGCTGTACCATTTTGCATTCCTACCAGCAATAGATAAGGGTTCCAATTTCACCACATCCTCTCCAGCATTTGTTATTTTCTGTTTTTGTATTTTAGCCATCCTAGTAGGAGTAAAATGGTGCCTCATTGGGGTTTTGATTTGCATCTCTCTGATGGCTGATTATAATAAGCAACTCTTCGTGTATTTGGTGGCCATTTGAGTGTCCTCTTTGGTGAAATGTCTACTCAAGTCCTTCGCCCATTTTATGATTGGATTATTTATCTTTTTGTTGTTAAGTTGTTGAAGTTTTATATATATTTTGGTTGTTAAGATTCTTGCGGGATATATGGTTTCTGAAGATATTCTCCAGGTTGGTAGCTTGTCCTTTCACTTTTTTTTTTTTTTTTTAACAACTGTTGAGTAGTTTCCATTTTTATTATTACAAATAATGGTCTAATGAACTTTCTTGTATCTACCTCCTTTAAAGACATGCAAATGTTTCTCTAGGGTAGATAGGCATGCATAATTTAAATTCCAGTATTTATTATCACATTGCCTTTTGTATATGATTGCCTCCAAAGTGGCAGTACCCCTCTGCACAGGGACCTGTATTTGTGGGAAGAGAATGAATTTAGTTTGGGATATGTTGAGTCTACAGTGTCAGCAGAGCATGTCTACTTGAATACCTTGGAGGTTTTTGGAGAAAAGGCAGGGTGTGGTTTAAGTCTGGAGATGTTGAGTTGTTTAGCAACAGACCCCGTAAACTCTTTTGAGGGTGTGAGAAGGAGGGAGGGTGATCAGAGCAAAAGATTGAATGATTAGTTGGGGGATGGGGGACTTCTACCACCATGCAGAAAGAGATGGAATAAAAGCTCTAAGGGTGACCAGCTGTCCTGGTTGACCTGTTCCTGAAGGTGTTCCCAGGATGTGAGATTTACTGTGCTAAAATGAGGTAAGTCCCAGGCAATTCTGGATGAGTTAGTCACTCTACTGAGTGAGAGATCAGTTTCAAAGAGGAGCGACAACTGTTTCCACTAAAACTATAGGAAAAAAACCCAAACCAAACGTGTTGCCATCGAGTTGATTGTCACCCGTAGCAACCCTACAGGACAGAGTAGAACTGCCCCCACTCCTTTCACATTTTTGATAAAGTCTTTTGATGAACAAAAGTTTTTAATTTTTATGAAGTCTCATTTATTTATTTTGTCTTTTGCCATTTGTGCTTTTGTTATTTTAAATAATCCATTGTTGAAATCTAGGCCCAACCGTGTTACCCCTGCTTGTTTTTCTAGGAATTTTGTGGTTTTAATTTGCATGTTCTGTTGTCCATAGGGTAGCTATAAGTCGAAACCGACTCGATGGCATCTAACAACATCAACACAGTTTGCAAATTTAGGTCCTTAATCCATTTTGAATTTGTTTTTGTCTGTGGTGTGAGGCATGGATCCTGTTTCATTTTTCTGCATGTGGAAATCCAATTTTCCCAGCACCATCTATTGAAGAGACTCTTCTTTCCCCATTGAATGGATGTAGCACCTTAGTCAAAAATCAGTTGTTGGTTTATTTTTGGACCCTCAATTCTATTCTGTTGGTCTACGTGTCTGTTGTTATACCACTACCGGGCTGTTTTGATTACTGTAGCTATACAGTATGTTTTAAATCAGGAAGTGTGAGTCCTCCTACTTTGTTCTTCTCTTTCAACATTGTTTTAACTATTTGGGGCCTCTTGCCATCCCATATGAAATTGAGGATTGATTTTTCTATTTCTGTAAAGAAGGCTGTTGGAATTTTGACTGGGATTACATTTAATCTGTAGATCACTTTGGGTAGTATTGACATCTTAACAATATAAACTCTTCCAATCCATGAACATGGAACATCTTTCCATTTATTTAAGTCTTCTTGAATCTCTTGCAGCAGTGTTTTGTAGTTTTCATTGTATAAATCCTTCATGTCCCTGGTTAGATTTATTCCTAGCTATGTTATTCTCTTAGATGCTGTTGTAAATGGAATTGTTTCCCTAATTTGTCTTTCAGATTCTCATTGGTGGTGTATAGAAACTCAACTAATTTTTGTTGACCTTGTACCCTGCAACTTCGCTAAATTCCTCTACTAGCTCTAGAAGTTTTCTTGTGGACTCTTGGAATTTCTGTGTATAGGATCATGTCATCCATGAGTAGAGATAATTTTACTTCTTCCTTTCCAGTCTGGATACCTTTTATTTGTTTTTCTTGTCTTATTGCTTTGGCTAGAACTTCTAATACAATATTGAGTAGAAGTGGTGAGAGTGAGCAACCTTGTCTTGTTCCTGACTTCAAGGGGAAAGCTTTCAGTCTTTCTCCATTAAATATTATGTTGGCTGGTGGCTTTTTTTATGACACTTAGAAGCTGTGATTATTTTTTCTTAGTGACATTATTTATAGTTTCATTTGCTCTTGTTTCTCCATGGCAGAATTTTGGAAGTGTGAAAATTCTACATTTTCACAGCTCTCTTTTAATACTTCTGTGGTGGTGTGATTACATTTACCATATGGGCTTTTATGTTTTGTTTTTTCTTTCTTTTTTCCTTTTTTAATTTGATTCTATATTTTTATTAAAGCAATGTATGCATAAACTCTAAAGAGTCAAATAGTTTTACATAGTTTAATCAGGACAAATAGCAGCTTGTCTCCCACCTGCTATTTCATGCAGTCACTTTTAACATACTTTTGAAGTTAATCCTAACATCTCTAAACAATATACTTAAAATTCCATGTGTTGATTTTCCTGCCTTCTTTTTTTGTTTTTATTTATTTATTTTGCATTAACCTCTTAAGATTGGCACCCATTAATTTCTAGCTTAATGTTTTCTCTCATTCTGTAGGTTGTCTTTTCATTTTCTTTGTGCACTGAAGTTTTTAGTTTTAATGATGTCCAGTTTATCTGTTTTTTTCTCTTGTTCCTTGTGCTTTTGGTATCATATCTAAGAATCAGTTGCCGAAAAGAACGTCTTGAAGCTTTACCCTTATGTTTTCTAAGAATATTATAGTTCTAGCTCTTATATTTAGGTCACTGATCCATTTTGAATTAATTTTTGTATGCAGTGTGAATATGGGCCCAACTTTATTCTTTTGCATGTGGAGATTTAGTTGCCTCAGCACCATTTGTTGAAGAGAGTTTTCTTTCCCCATTGAATGGATTTTGCTTCCTTACAAAAATCACTTGGCCATAGATGTATGGGTTTTAGATTTTCAGTTCTGTTGCACGGGTCTATATGTCTGTCCTTATATCAGCACCACGTTGCCTTGATTAGTATAGCTTTATCATATATGGATATGTGAGTCTTCCTTCTTTTTTAAAATTTATTCAAGATTGTTTTGCCTATTTGGGACCCCTTGTGATTCCATGTGAATTTGAGGAGTTTATGATCTTAGGTTTGTTAATACATTTTAATATTTACAGATAAAACTTTAAACTTTTATTTTTTATTTATTTTTTATTTTCGAAGGACTATGATTTAGTCTCCAAAGAACCAAAGCCTTTTGTATTTGAAGGAAAAGTCCGTGGTCCTATTGTTGTTCCTACAGCAGGAGAAGAACCATCTGGGAATTCAGGTGATTTAAGGAAAGATGTTGTAATGAAGGAGAATGTATCTTTTAAAGGAGATGAAGATGAGAAGCCTACCTTTGTGGATCTAGCAAAAGAAGAGACAAAAGATAATGACAAACTGTTACAACAGCAGCTAGATGATCAGAATAGAACTATTTCTCTGGTTCATGGTGTAAATAATGATATTGTGAAGGCCTTGGACCGAATTACATTGCAGAATATTCCTTCTCAAACATCCCCGGCTTTTACTGCAGGAATGAAGAAGGACTACAGTCTTCCTCTTACTGTCCTTTCATGCACTAAAGCTTGTCCACACATGGCTTCTTGTGGAAATGTTCTGTTTGAGGGAAGAACAGTTCAGCTAGGGAAGCTTTGCTGTACTGGAGTTGAAACTGAAGATGATGAAGATACTGAGTCTAATTCATCAGTAGAACAAGCATCAGTTGATGTGCCTGATGGACCAACACTCCATGACTCAGATCTGTATGTTGAGATTGTGAAAAGTACAAAGTCTGTCCCAGAATATTCAGAGGTGGCTTATCCTGATTATTTTGGTCACATTCCACCTCCATTCAAAGAGCCTATTTTAGAAAGGCCTTATGGTGTACAAAGGTGAGTTGCAGATTTCTTCTCCCTTCTAAATAAGACCATTGTCAAAATATGAAGCATACTTAAAAAAAGAAAAAAAGTTACTTTGGTATTTAAGAAGAACATTACTCCAAATTAAAGTTATTGTCATTTTTTACCCTGCCTTGGAAGTTTTGCATTGCTTTGAAAATTGTCCTTGTGTGTTTATTTTGTTCATTTTTTAAGCTCATTACTTATTCAAAAGAAACCAGCATACTAAACCTGACAATTGGACGATTTAGAAGTTTTTTAATTTAGATTGAATTTCAGAATATAAAAACAGATTGTTTAATAATCTGTGGATAAATATTACCATTTATTTAGAAATTTGCTGATCATTTGAACTGGGTTTAGGTATATGATTTAAAAAGAGGCTCTGAATGAAGCAGTATGAACAGTATTATTTTGTTGTCAAACCGAAAACCCGTTGCTGTTGAGTCGATTCCAACTTACAGCAACCCTATACAACAGAGTAGAACTGCCTCGTAGGGTTTCTAAGGAGTGGCTGGTGGATTCAAACTGCTGGCCTTTTGGTTAACAGCTGAGCTCTTAACCACTGTGCCTCCAGGACTCCATTTTGTTGTAAAGTTTGAAATTTTAAATTGGAAATGTACAGTGTATAATAATTCGAGATTCATAAAAGCAGTAATTAAGGTTATTAAATATTGCCAAGTAATATTAGATATTACAAATACTATTAAGTGTTGCCAAGTAGTGAATCATTATTTGACGTATAAATACCTTTTGGTGAGGCTGGACCATTTTCAGTGATTATAGTTCAGTTTTTGTGTTGATGGTGTGTCAGTATAAAGCCATTTGCATACTCTTGATGTCAGTATAGTATGTCATGATGAAGGAGGACGGTGCTATAGGTATTTGATTCTTCTTAAGGCAGCAACTATATTTTGTTTTTTTCTTTAGCATCTAGTGTAATTCATCATTTTTACTTGGCAACTTAGTGTGTATTTTATGCTTCTAGTCATCTCCTTGATCCACAGATACAGGATCACACACAGCATACCATCAGAGCAGGGGACTTAACTTTTACTGAAAAAGATGTGTGGAGTGGGCCTATGCATGACAGCCACTGGTTATATCACGTAATGTAACACCCAGAGGCAGCTGGCTTCGTGGAGTGCTAGAATGGCCTTTGAAAGGCACAGGTGAAGCTCCAACTCAGAGGAAATACACTGCCAGGATTGGTTACCATTTTTTAGGATGCAGCAATTGCCCTAAATTTGAAACTTCTGCATGACTCTGTATCCCCAATAGGAAAAATACCAGAAGGATGGAGTGAGAAGGGCCCTACTCACCATCACTCCCAGTGTCCCACAGGAGGACCTTGTGCTTCCTGTCCCTGTACCTCTAGGCTCTGCAGGGTCAGAAGTCCTGGTCCCCAAAGTGGATGCAGTCTTACCATGGGGCTCCAATTACCTCAGAAAGTATCCAATTTAAGGAACCAGCAGGCAAGTAGAGGTTTTACTGTCTTGGCAAGGTAATTGATCTGTATAAGCTAGAGGAGGTAGGGTTGCTTTTACACAATGGGAACAGGCAGGATCGAATGTGTGTGGAATTCAGGTGATGCACTTATTTCCTTTTGGTACTCCCTTGTCCATTTTTAACTGTGAATGGGCAGGTTGCAGCCACTTTTGATTGAGAATTATATGATTACCAGGGCCTCAGACCGATCAACAAGGAGGGTTTGGGTCACTTAAATAGATCAGTTGCCAAGAACTGTAGGAGGTGATAGCTGGGGGATGGAGATGATCAGTTGCAGCCCTGAGAACAGTTGACAACAATGGGGATGAAGTTGGTCCTGCTAATGTTGCTTTTCTAAGTTTCTGCTTAAGAGAGATCCACAGAAACTGTGCAAGAGCTGCTCTTCAAATATGGGTAGAGAAGTGGATGTGTGCAGCTCAAGGGGTGGACTGTGGCAGCCATGGGAATGAGCCACTAGATCTGCCTTCAAGAGGGAACCTGCTGGGAGGCTTGTAGTGGCTGACAGCCTTCAGCTGCCACATCTTTGGGATCTGTCAGCGTTTATTCTGAGGCCACACTCTCTCTGGGCTGCCAGTGACTGAGCATGGTGGGAGTAATAGAGCTGAGCCATGCCTCAGCCACGAGGGACCTGCTAACAGGCAGTCTTTGCTCTGGGGTTCCCCATCAGCCTGGCCGAGACTTTCCCAGTGCTGCGCTGCAGTCTGAGGCTCTTCCCAATGACTACTCTCTCCTTTCCCAGGCAACACGCCTGCTTCTCAGCTGATGGCCCTTCTCACCTATGATTGCTCCATTTCCCCTTTGTTCTGTCACTTGGTTTCCATCATTACATTTTTTGTATGTCTGATTGTGTTATGACATCTGCTTATTATAGGACTTGAACTGACACACCTGGAGTTAGAATCAGTCAGCAACTTGATTTTTCTCCTTTTCAGCATCACCTCTTAGGTTCTGTGCCTCTCCAAACTCAGCGATGTCATCGTGTCTATAGAAAGCACTTCTGAACTTAAGTGTTCTTTCAACCCTCAGAGCAAATTTCCTTGTTAAAATGGCTTAATCTGAAAGTTTTTTTTTCTCTTACTAGCCCGTAATATCTGAGGTAAGATGGGAAAGAAGGAAGATTGCAGAATAAAGTTTTTAACTATCGTGTGTCTGATTCCCATCCTTAGTTTTAATCACCAAGGATCCTTACTATTCCTTGTGTATCCCATATCATGAAAGCTTTCCTCAATCTAGACTCTTACTTGTTTTAATTAGAGACACATATTCCTGCCAGTCAGAGCCTCTGATCAATATTTGGTAGCCAGGGCTAACTCTGCCTAGTTGATACCTTTACAGACAATAAGTAAAGAAACCTAATGTTTTAATTAAGTATAGCCATATTGCAGATAAATGTGTAATGACCTGAAATAGCTGTGGTATCTCTGTGGATCCTTAAACATCCACTGCAGGTATGGAGCCACCACCCTCAGCTGTGGTGACCTCTGCCCTCTGAGCAGTGATTTCTGATGTTGGTTTTGTCCTTGACTGGCTCGGTCTTTCAGAGAGTATTGTTCCACCCATAGTCCCAAGCTCCACTTCCTTTCTCTCCTTGACCTATCCTGATGGGGAGGAATTTATATAGACAAGGAATTACTGTGGCTCTCCTGCCACCCTCTCTTCTCTCAGTATTTATGATGAGTTCTCTTTCCTTGTCCCTGAAACATTGACCTTGGAATTGTTGGAATCCATCCTTTTCAGTATATTAGGCCACATGTAGGACTTTTTTCTGAAGTAATAGACTTTTTTTTACTCTGTGTCTTGGTCATCTAGGGCTGCTATAACAGAAATACCACTAGTGGATGGCTTTAACAAAGAGAAATTTATTCTCTTACAGTCTGGTAGGCTACAAGTCCAAATTTAGGGCAGCAGCTCCAGGGGAAGGCTTTCTCTGTCTGCCCTCTCATCAGTCTTCCCCTGGACTAGGAGCTTCTCCGCACAGGGACCCTGGGTCCAAAGGATGTACTCTGCTCCTGGGACTGCTTTCTTGGTGGTGTGAGGTCCCCAACTGTCTGCTTCCTTCCCTTTCCTTTCATCTCTTGTAAGATAAAAGCTGGTACAGGCCCCACCCCAGGGAAACTCCCTTTACATTGGATCAGGGATGTGACCTTAGTAAGGGTGTTAAAATCCCACCCTAATCCTCTTTAACATAAAATTATAATCACAAAATGGAGGGCACCCACACAATACTGGGAATCATGACCCAGCCAAATTGATACACACACATTTTTGGGGAAACATAATGTAATCCATGACACTGTATATGTATACAATGTAATGTACCACTGAGTTTGTCTACTCTTCAAACCAAAGCTGTATTATTTTGATACTGTGAGGTAACAGCATGATGAAAGATCAAAAGGTAAAAGTTGGTATACGTGTTTTAAAAATAGATGTTTGTATGCAGATAAAAGGAGATGGAGGTCAAGGGAATCAAAACACAGAAAACACAGTAGTGTAAAAGTCTGTACCTGTGTTGGCTCCTGGTGGATTTGTAATGAGAAAAGGAAGAGACTGGGCTCCAAAATACCTTTGAAAGTCAAATGATCCGTGTCTTTCCACATGTTTCTGAGATTTCTTTCCCTGTAGAGAGATGCCCCCTCTGATTTTCATGACCCTGAGGAAGCCATTCTTTTGCCTTCCAATTTGTTGAGGGAGAAATAAGTCATAAATTATAAAGCAGTCTAAAACTTCTCTCAGCTAGTCTGCATCATTGTATATTTTGTGTGATGGCTATTACTCAGTTTAAATGATTTGTATAACCTCCTAGAAACTATATATGCTATGTTGCAAAGGACAGTGTTTATCATATTTGTCATAATTTCCACTTCTCTATCTTGTTTGGCATAGTTGCCAGGGATATCAGAGACTTGACCTGAGACACGAATAGAGCCATATTTCAATGAAACAGTATGGTTCTGTTAACATTATTTAGATTTATAGGACTTTCCCAATAATCTTAATTACTTTAGGTATAGCAACTGCAAAAAATATGTTTAAAATATTTACAAATTGTATGATAGACAGTAGTACTTTGATATTTGAAGAATGTTGCTTATTTTATATACTTTTTCTGCAAATATTTGTCAGGTGTTTATGTGGAAATTTTCATGAGCATTGTAGTTCCAGTACTCAAAGATGCCACCATACCTCTAAAGCCTCCTTTCTTTTCACCCATCATTTTTGAATAATGGGTAGAAAACTGTTCAGAATTATTTGTTCCTTCAGGTGACATTAATTTGAGGCTGAAAGAAGAAATGCATATAGCAGAAGTCATTGGACAGTTGGATTTGACGTGATGAGAGTGGTCAGGCAGTGTGGTGAAACATCTTGGCAGGGCAGGAAGTGCTTTGAATGGCAGTCAGAAGGTTTAGATTCTAGAATTGGCTCTCCCACTCACTAACTCTGAGTGTGTGTTTGAGCAAATAACTTTCTCTAGAAACCTGTTTTCCCAATAAACAGCAGAGAATTTAATTAGAACAGTGTTTTTCAAACTGTATGAATACTCATTAGTAACCAGTATTAAGACAGTATAGAAAATAACAGTACACCACATGTATTACAACTAAGTATTGTTTCATAAAACTTTTGTTTCAGTTGTGTGTGTATATGTGTTGGGTCATGATTTTTAAAATGTATTTCTTGTAGGTCCTGAGCAAAAAAGTTTGATAGTCATTCACCTGGATCCCAGTTGGGAAAATATGGCCTGTGTTCCAAATCCGGCCAACTGCCTATCTGTGTTTTTAGCCTGTAAGCTAAGAATGGTTTTTACATTTTTCAATGGTTGAAGAAAATAAAAAAGAAATTAATATTTTTTGGCACATGAAAATTATATGAAATTCATATTTCAGTATTCATAAACAGAGTTTTATTGGAACACAGGCTTGCCCATTTGTTTATGTATTGTCTATGGCTGTGTGTATGCTACCTTGGTGGAACTGAGTAGTGGCAACAGAGCCCATACGACCTGCAAAGCCTAAAATATTTATTTGGCTGCATACAGAAAGAGTCTGCTGGTCCTGTACTAGATAGTCTGAAGACTTTATGGTTCTGAAAAACATCAGATATGGGCCAGGTAATAGGTATTTCTGATACACTCAGAAATGCTTCTTTTTTGAAATATATTGAGAATGTTGATTCTAGTTTTACTTATTTGCCTAGTCTTTCCTCAACTTATTTTTTAAGCAAACCATAAACCCTTTGTAAATTGATTGCCAGCTTTAACCCAGTCTCTGTCTGAATGCAGTAACAATTGTAATTGATTGTAGTCAACATTTATGAGTATTTATGTACTGTTTATTATTTTCAGAAGAAGGAAGTACTAGACTCCTTTAAAATTATTCAGTGAAAATATCTATATTGTTATTTTGTACAGTACCATTATGGTTATCTTTCTTGTATGCCATCATCAATCTTTTTAAAAGGAAAAGCAGTATAAAATGAATAAAGCTTCACTAAACATCTCCTAGCCTTATTTGGAAGGAGAAAAGCCCATTATAAGATTCATACCTCCATGTCGATTAAACCAACCCAAACCCACTGCTGCCAAGTTGATTCCGACTCATAGTGACCCTGTAAGACAGAGTAGACCTGCCTCATCTGGTTTCCAAGGCTGTAATCTTTAGGGAGGTCGACTGCCACATCTTTCTCCCGTGGAGTGGCTGGTAGGTTTGAACTGCTGACCTGTTGGCTGGCAGCTGAGCGCTTTAACTGTGCCACCAGTGCTTGTTCTATGTAGATAACACAGTAATATTTAACAAATCTTCTATTGAGAGCAAAGTAATGATTACTTGAACCCGTGTTTTTGGTGTAGGTTGGATTTAAAAATTACAATGAAATTTTTCTTTTTTTAAAGTATGCTTAGTATTTTTTCTGTTTTCAAATTCCATTGAATTAGAAAATGAGAAAAACCTAGAAAGAAAGGTCCATCTTTGTCTCATCCCCCAGAGCATTTTTTTTTCTCCATTTTCTCTATATATTGTTTTCTAATTGTGGTAAATATATATGTACCAAATCATTTGACATTTCGACAATCTTCACAGGTACAGTTCATTGGCATTATGTTTATTATATTGTTCAACCATCACCCTTATCCATTCCCAAATTATACCATCACCGTTGACAGAAGCTCAGTGTTTCCTAAACATTGATCTCTGTGTGGTGTTTTTTAAAAAAATCTAGCTGTATTTTATAATACATGTTTATTATAAAATATTTATATTGCCTAGTTTCAAAAAGCATTTAAGATATTTTACAAAAGTGCATTCATCAAAATAAAATGAAAAATAAGGAAAAGGAAATACTATTGACTCTTAACCACAAAGATATGTTCAACTTCATTCAAAATAAGACATGCAGTCAGGTTGCCAATTCCATTTTGATGAAATTCCTTTTGGTTGCATTAAAAAAAACCCAAAAAAACAACTCCTTATATAATGTTGGGCTTTTCAGGTCTTTACTGCTTCTAATAATGCTGTTACTTTTCAGAAATTTTGTGTGAATCCACACCATTTCTATGTAGAAAGGTATAATAAACATACAAGGTTTTTTTTTTTGTTTAACTGTTGGATTTGTGGCTGTATTCTTCGTGGTTATTTTCTAGAACCTAGACTCTGACAAATATTGACTTTTGTCTTGTTATGTATTGATAATTTTTGTACACAATATATAGTTAGAGGAATTACTGTTTTTCATGAAATTTTTATCATTTACACTTTTTCATCCAACACATTTTGGAGAAAGTTGTGTGTTGGCATATATAATAATGAATTTTATTCAAAATTCTGTTTTATGATTTCAGGACAAAAATTGCTCAAGATATTGAGAGACTGATACATCAGAGTGATATCGTAGATCGAGTGGTATATGACTTAGATAACCCAAAGTAAGTTTGATATATGTGTATATATATATATACATACATTTACTTTTGTTTTATTTTCACTGTAAATTTTCAGTGGTATTTTTAAAAGATAAAAATTATAATTCTACCTAGTTTATCCTCACTATGTTTTCATCTTTTGGCAGAGATGTAATGGTGAATCGTGGTTATTACTTAAACTGATTATATCACATGCTTTTGTTTGTTCTTAGGTGAGTTTTCAATGGGTTTAAAGCAGAGATCACAAACTGATGCTCTGTTTTAAAAAAAATTGAAATTAGCTGTACTAATTCACGTGAAATTCTAGCTTGTCCCTCAGTGTTGGGCCTTCATTTCCTTGGGGAAACAAATTGTCATCTGCTTGAGAAGGAACATGTGCTTGGCTAATTCTTCACAGTTCCCACCACTCCCTATTGTCTCTTACTGCTGACAGTCTGCTTTAGTTATTTAAGTTACCTGCCTGACCTTTGAAGCCGTTTCTCATCCCTGGTGTAAGTGTTTGTGTCTTTTACAATTTAGGATTGTTACTGATATCATTACATTCTAGGATTTGAATATAAATAAATAAATGAAAATTAAAAATGTCAAATGTCACTATTATTCAGTCATTTGCCTCCTTCAAATGAGAATTTCTGTTAGCCTTCAGCAGATTTCCCCCCACTAACATTTCAATTTTTTAGGAAATGTCATGTTTTACTGACCTTATTTGGAGAAAAGGAAAGACTTTTGTAAGGTTTTTGTTAGAGAGGTAAGAGTAAAGGCTATATCAAAGCTAATGACTGAATATGAGATAATATTCTAAAAAAGAAACATCTAATCTATTTATAAATCTCTTGATTATTCCACAGTATATAATTCTGTGTCAGGTAGATCAGGAAGATGTGGTAAAAAAACAGAAACTCAAGAACTCTAAGTGTGGCATACAGTCCTGATTTTAACTGAAATGACTTTGGGTAAAATCATTTAGCCTTCTTGAGTCTTAGTTTTCCTCTAGTAGAACGTAAGCTCCGAAAGAGCAAGAATATTTGTGATAAATCAGGGACCCAAACAGACCAATAACTAGAACAGTGTCTGATGCTTTATTAGGCGTTCAGTAAATATTACTGAAGTAATAAATATGTAAAATGATAACAGTACCTTTTCCTTTTTGGTGCTAATTAAATAAGAGATAATGAAGCTCTCTAAATTTAAAATAATATTTTTAACAGAGAGCTGCATAGTTTGTTAGAATTATTGCTACTCATACAGGTCATATGAATTTTTAAAATCCATCTGGTCTTTTCTATATGATAATTAGTATTGTAGAAATAACACTGATTCAGCCATGCAAAGATCTTCACTGTAAACCTAGGAATATGTCTCTAATTACAATTTTTTGTGTATAAAAATCAGCCAGAGTTTGTATTTTGCTTGTGCTGGTTGTGTGTTTTGCTTTAAAAAAAAAACAAAGAGGATAATATAGCATAGATAATAGTGGTATATTTTTAATATGTAGCATAGTTTTATTTATTTATTTTTGCTCGACTGTTTAAATGCAATGTATTTTATTAAACTTTCAAAAATTTATTTAGTTACATCATTCCAGAAGAAGGAGATATTTTGAAGTTTAACTCCAAATTTGAATCTGGGAATCTGCGCAAAGTGATTCAAATCAGAAAGTAAGTCATTTAAAATTTTCTCATTTTGTACGTACACATATTTTTCTAATTATCATCAGATTTCTTTATCTTCTCCTTTCAGAAATGAATATGATCTTATTCTGAACTCAGATATAAACAGCAATCATTATCATCAGTGGTTTTACTTTGAAGTCAGTGGAATGAGGCCAGGTGTTGGTTACAGGTTTAACATCATTAACTGTGAAAAGTCCAACAGTCAGTTTAATTATGGTAAGACCGTTTTGTTTCCTAATCGACAAGTCTTGCAGGCATCTTAATTCTAAGAGTTTTTAAAAAAAAGTTACCAACATTTTTGTAATGTTTGAATATTCATCCTTTTTTTCTCTAGTTCTCAAAACTCAGATGTTTATTATGCAAAATTTGAAATTGGCTAAGCGTTGATTTGTCAGTGAAAAGAGTTACCCTTGCTGAGGCAAACCCTAATGGATATGGTTGATTTCATCTGCAATGAGTACAATTAAAGATTTATTATGGATGCTGCTTATAATCAAGTTTTAAATGTCAGTTTATCCAGAAGAGAATTGCATGAAGCAGTTTTTTATTTTGAAATAGTAATGATTTTGAAATAATTATAGATTCACAAGAGTTAAAAAACTACTGTAAGGTCCGGTGTTCTCTTCACCAAGTCTCTAATGGTTATAGCTTATGTAACTGTAGAACAAGGTCAAAACCAGGGAATTGATATTGGTACAATGAGAGTATATAGTTCTGTGCCGTTTTATCACATTTGTAGATTCTTGTAACCAACACCACAATCAAGATACAGAATGATTCCATCACTGCAAAGATCTCCCTTGTGCTACTTCTTTATAGTTCACCAATAAGTATGACGTTTGCTATAGATTTTCTGTAAATTTTTAAGAAATGTAGTTGAAGAAGTTTCCTTCTATTTGTAATTTCCTGAAAGTTTTTGTAATGAATGTGTGTTGAATTTTGTCACCTGCATTTTCTGTGTCAGTTGATATAATCATGTGATTTTTCTCCTTTAGCCTGGTATGGTGTATTAATTACATTGATTGATTCTTGAATATTGAAGCAGCCTGGAATAAACCTAGTCATAGTGCATAATTCTTATATATTGCTAAATTCTATTTTCTAATATAAGAATTTTTACATTAATATTGATAAAAGATATTGCTCTGTAGTTTTCCTTTTTTGTACAGTATCTGGTTTTGATATCATAGTAATACTGACTTCATAAAATGGGTTGGGAAGTGTTCATAATTTCCCACCCTCTTATTTTCTGGAAGAGTTTATGTAGAATTGGTATTAATTCTTCCTTAAACGTTTGGTAGGATTGTCCAATGAAACCATCTGGCCTGGAGATTTTTTTTGGGGGGAATTTTTTAAGTTAGAAATTTAGTTTCTTTTTAATCGTTATACCAAAAATCCCAAACCCATTGCCGTTGAGTTGATTCCGATTCATAGCAATCCAATATGACAGAGTAGGACTGCCTCATATGGTTTCCAAGGCTGTATATGTTTATGGAAGCAAACTGCTGCACCTTCCTCCCGCAGAGCAGCTGGTGGGTTCGAACCGCCAACCTGTCCATTAGCAGCTGAGTGCTTTAACCACTGCACCACCAGGGCTCCTTTAATAGTTACACTCACCAAACCCAAACCCACTGCCGTCAAGTCGATTCTGACTTGTAGCGACCCTGTAGGACAGAGTAGAACTGCCCCAAGGCTGTAATCTTTAGGGAAGCAGACTGCCACATCTTTCTCCTGTGGAACGGCTAATGGGTTCGCCAGCCTTTTGGTTAGCAGTCCAGCGCTTAACCACTGTGCAACCAGAGCTCCTCTTGATAGTTATACGGCTATACAATTTATCTAGTTCATATTGAGTTGTAGTTTGTACTTTTGAGGAATTGGTCTGTTTAATCTGAGTTGTAGAATGTTTGTGTAAAGTTGTTGATAGTATTCCTTTATTATTATTTTAATGTCTGCAGGGTTTGTAGTAATATATCCCATTTCATTCTCAGTATTGGTAATTTGTGTCTTCTCTCATTTTTTCTTTGTTAGTCTTATTAGATGTTTGTCAGTTTTATGGACCTTTTCAAAGAGCCACCTTTTTATTTCCCTGGTTGTCTCTACTGTTTTTCTCACAAGGCAGCTTTTAAAACTCTGGTGTTGTACCAGCAAAAATATAGCCTCATTTAAGGATTTAGGGTTTAGAAATTTAATAAATACAAAATTAAGGGTTGTCAGGTATCTGGTGTTTTAAGTCAAACATTTTGTCAGTGGAAGATCGTATAATTACATGAACTCAATATCAGTAACTTGAAATTGAAACATTAAGTTTCAAGTATTTAATTTAATAGTAGTGAATTTTTGTATAAAAGAAAATAACTTTTTTTTTGTTATACACAAAAAAAACTTGCACTGGGGATTGAGGAAAAACAAGTATATTATATATAGCAAGTTAACCAAATCTCAGAGGCCTCAATCATTTTTGTAAAGATTGACAGCTTTTAACAACTGAGGCATGAAATGCCATCTTAGATGTTTCAAGTAGTTGTTGAATAGAATTTTATCTTAGAAAATTAATAGAGAGATACTCAGGTTTATCATGCATAAACTTGTTTAGTTTATTGCAAGATATTCTTGGCAAGGCATGCAAGTAAGACCTTTTCATTTTGAACCGGCGAATCAGAATTAACAATTACAATGTTAGTTCAATGGTTAGAGTCCAGATCTTTAGATTTAAGCCTTTTTTACCTTTTATGAGTGGTCTCGGGAAGAAAGCTTGACCACGACTTGAACTCAGTGCAGGTTGGTGGCAGTGGTGGCGGGCAGAGTCTCAGCAGGCTCTTGGTCTTCAGACAAAATAAGAGACTAGAGAAAGATCCCTTTGCCTCTGCCTTCTCTCAGTGAGTGAGCAGAAATTCAGGGTTTGTATGTGAAATTCTCACCTTGGCCTCCCGTAATAAGGGCCAGTATGACATCAAAGACTAGTGTGTTATGTCGTTTTCTCCAGGGTTAGAGATTACCCAAATGTCACAGTTTTTCTTCAAGGTTAGAGATTAGGGAGGTTATTTAGATTTATGTCTCAAGGCTAGTTAGCAAAGATTAACTATGCTATGTCTTCTTTTATCACAACATGCCAGGTCAGAGTCAACTTAACTTAAAGGTTGTTTGCCACATTCTTCACGTGCTTCACATGTTTCTATGTCTAAGTTCAGAAATTTTCCAAGTAAGTTTCTCATGACTTACAGGTTTCTAATGGCTTATGGTTAATGTTAATGGTTAATGTTAGAGAGCCTCACAAAGGTGATTATATGTATGTATTTTGAAAGCTTAATAGTGACTTATACCGTATGGGATTTAAGATCATTATGGAAACATACAGAACAATGCTCAACTTGTTAAAAGCATATATATGATACTCTTTAAAGAGGGCGTTTCTGAAAATTGAAGCTTTCAAGAGAGGAAAAGGTTAAAGTTTTTTTCCATTGTCATTACTTATTGGGAAAAGAAGAAATAATGGTAGACAGTCGGCCCTTCGTATCTGTGGGTTCCGCATCTGTGGATTCAGCTAACCTTGGATCGAAAATATTTGGGGGTGGGGGAGAGAGGGAGAAAGTTAAGAAATGCAGAATTTGAATTTGTGGTATGCAGAGCACCACACTGAATCCCCACGAATGAAGTGCTGGGTAGGCATCCCTTGCTGTAGCCCCCCGCCATTTCACAGATCCTCGGTCTCTCTCCAGCACTCCTTGGTTGAGCATTGTTCGTGTCCCATCTCGTTCCTTCACTATTTGTGTTGTGTGCACCCTTTGTCTTTGTGAAAAATTGCTCCTAAAAAGCAATTGTGTGGTCAAAGCAATCCCTCAAAGGCTAAGTATGAGGGGACTGAAGAGAGCGAGAAGCAGCAGTTTAAGGCTAGTAAGGGATGCCTGGCTAGCTCTGTAAAGCACTACAGCCTCTACACTTAAAGATCGTGCACATCGACCTTGGCTGATGCCCAGGCAGCATCAGGGCTCCTAGAAGAGCTCAAGAAACTCATAGAAGAGAAAGGCTGCCTTTCAGAGCAAGTCTTCAATTTTGATGAAACAACTATTTACATAGCATTTACATTGTATTAGGTATTATAAGTAATCTAGAGATGATTTAAAGTATATGGGAGAGGATGTGTATAGGTTATATGTAAATACTATGCTATCTTATGTAAGAGACTTGAGCATCCTCGGATTTTGATATCCGAGGGGGCTGGTGGAACCAATCACCCCGCGGATACCGAGAGACGACTGTACTCGAGAATTATTTCACATGTATGGGATAAAAGCTTCAGTCAGATATGTTTAATGTAATAGATAGTCATAGGACAATTAGGTAGCATAATATGTGGCTTAGTTTTAAACATTTTCAAAGATTTTAAAATGTTTTAAGTAATTTAATTTTTAAATGATTCATTTTTTAAATGTTTTGATGAAAGATTCAGTGATTATATTGATTTGCACGGTGATATGAATATTCTTGATGTTCACATTCTTTTATAATTTTATACTATAACTACTAATCATTGAATATAATCTTTCTTGGAAATATTTGTTTCCTGTCATTAGACTTTCATATAACTTTAAAAATTACCTTAATTGAAACTGTTTCAAAGTTTTCACTTATTTTTTTGACTTTATAGTCTAGTTTAACATCCTTGTTGCTTTAGTGCACTTTGTTTATTTAATTATTTTGACTTTATAATGTTGTTTAATGTCCTGTATTTTTTTCCAAAAACAGTTTAAAAACTTTTTTTGTACCTGTTTATTTCTCCTGAATAGTTGTTCTGAATATTATTCAGAATAATTTTATCAAGTGCCAAAAAAATTCCCATTGCATTAAACTTCTAGAATAATTTGAGAGATTGACTTTTTATTATTAAGTCTTGCCACTTAGAAACATGGGTATAGTTTTGTTTATTCAAGTCTTTTATACCCTCACCTAAGTTTTTAGTTTTTTTGTAAGTTTTATACATTTCCGTTAACCTTTATTCTTAAGTATTTTTTGTATTTTTATTTGTTTCTGTTGTGAAGGAATACTCCTCCCTCTTTTCAGACTGGTTATTACTTATCATTAAGAAAGCTGTTGCTTTTAATGTATTACTTGAAAATCAACCTCCTTACTCAACTTCCTTATTAGTTCTCATAGTTTCTTAGTTGAAACTTGGAATTTTCTTGGGAGCTACCTAGAATTCTTCCTTATTCTTAGTTATA